TATTTCTGAATCGAGATCAGTCAAAGATTGCGACTCAACAAAAGCTTTTCAACCTGTTTATCCATCTAATCTACGAGATCCATGGCATATAAAACGCATCCGCTTCCTTATGCAAAAAATTTTCATAATATAAAAATGTTTACATTTATATAATATTCAGAAAAAGTAAAGAGAAAAAGAAGGGCGGGCACCAAAAGTAAACCAAAATTGATCCAATGAAGAAATTAAGTAAAAAGATTAAGAAAAAATAAAACCCAATTGATTCACAAAATCGTGGTGCTCAACAGGTGATTTGGGGGCGGCAAGATGCTAATTGGGTGGGCTGTTCGAGGTAATTTAGGGGCGTAGACCGTGATTAGGGAAGGACACGTGGGACCAGCCGACACTAACACGGAATTTGGCAGCAACCAACAACGTCAAAAGCAGCGCGCTCATTGCCGTGTGTCAAACACCTGACCTCATCTCTCTACAGTATATTTGCTCTTCTTTTTTTTGGTAAAATATATTACGCGCATAAGGTTTTTTTTATTCTTTTATTATTATTATTCATACAAACAAAAATGAAAAATGAATATATTTACCGTTTTTAAAATGCCTAAAAGCGCAAAAGATCATTAGTGTAGTGATTTGAAACTATTTGAGTCCTAGCATTCGTGTAATGTATGTATATGCAGTCCTGGCCTTGCCCAAGGGCAGTCAGTGCGACTGCCCTGGGCCATTATTCAAGGGGGCCCTAAATTTTTTAATTATAATAAGTGTTATATTATATTATTATAAATTGATTTAATATTTTTCCATAATTTTTAGGAATAGGATATTGAGATGAATCTGAAATTTTGGAACAAAGGATCCATGACGAGAGTTCTAAAATAAATTATTTGATATTTGCTTGACTTGCATTCTTGACATTCTTTGACTCACTGGTATGGTATCCATAGTTGAACATTTGTTTTCATTATTTAGGAATATGGAAGACATTGCTCAAAGTCTAAAAATATTTTAGAATAAATACTTTCTCAAGAAATCCAATGCTTAGTCGATAAAACAAGAAGTACACTAGTATTAGTAATTAATGTGTGTCGGGCAAACTTTAGATTTTTGCCCTGGGCTTTTGAAAACTCAAGATCGAGCTTGTGTGTATGGGTATACTATCTCGCCCATTTTAATAGAAAAAGTTAAAATAATTATTATTAAAAAAAAAAGGTTAAAAGCAGATTTTGACAACTGAAAATCATCATGCATTTCTTACCAAAAGAAATGAAGATGCTGTTTGCTTTCTTGATTGATTGATAGCTAATAATGTGGCGTCAAATGAATGACATACCAACTATCTTTACCTATACGTAAATTAATTAATGTATTTTGACAAAAATAAATAATGTCCATTAATGTCATTCCAATTCCGGGATAATAGATGTTCGTAATTTCCATACAAAAACGACAATAATTAAGACTAAAACTAGACGACTATTCTCCTATGTTAGGAAAATTCAAGTTTTTGTTGAGAGTCTTGCGAATCACTGCCAAAGGTTGTCCAGGATAATAGTACAATTCTTTTGTCAAATTGAAAAAATAAATCACAGAAATATAATTTAATTAAAAAAATTCACACGCATATAAATCAATATTTTTAAATTTGGTACCGCTTCTTATCGGTATTAATGAAATTGAGGCACATGATCCAATATAGAAGTCCTTGACATGATTATTTAGTTATATAAATAATAAGAAACGTTTAATATTATATTAATGTGCTAAACAATACAGAAGTCCTTGACGTTGTAGATTCGATTTCTCCCTCCAAAATATCGCTTGTATAACAAAGAAATAAAAACAAAAACAAGAGATTCTAGCTCAAGTAGTTGAGAGTATTTGTTTATGCACCTGATAACTTATGTTCGAATTCATCCTCGTCAATTAGCTTGTATCAAAAGACAAAACTGGTTATTCATGGATCCAAATCCTGTACTTAATTGAGTAAGCATTAGATGGAAAGTTAAATTAGGAACCTCCAACAAAACGCAGCGAATCCAGACCTTTTGTTAATGGCTGTGGTTGGTTGTGTAAAATATAGCTTAATTAGCTTAACCGTTTTAAATGGAGTAAATTTAGGTTTTAGCCAAAAAAAAATTTTCACTTTTGGAAAAAGCCAAAGCTTTTTCAAAAAAGACAGAAAAACCTCTCAACTTTCAAATCAAAGACATGCAAATGTAAAGGATTCATTAGGAAATCCAAAAATAAATAAGGACAATTTTGTCCATTTTAACTTCTTTTACAAAATTTCTCTCTCCTTTGTATTTTTCCAAAGTCTCAATGGAGTGGTTTGAAGTCTACATCAAAAGTAGCTTGTCTAAACAAACATCCAAATTCATACACCATCTTAATATATTTGTGAAGGCCAATCGGATTATGTGACCAAAGCACAAGACAAAGCAAGTATGTATGCATGTCTCATATTCTATCTTCACTTCCGGAAAACAACTTCTTTGTTATATTTAGCAGAATAATCTTCACAGCTGCATGCTTTTGCATTTGTGAACGCAGTCTGAGAATTAAAAGGTGATTGGATTGGGAGGGATGATGGGGGACCAGATCAGATCAGTCATCAGTGGTAGCTGAAAATGTGTGCATGCATGTGATCAATCAATGGTGGGATCTATCTACTACACTACAGTCTAACCTCACTAAGCTTCCCCCTCCATCCTCACCAAACCTAGAAGAAGAAAGATGAAAATTATGCATTTCTTGAATGTTACATAAAGGAAGCGAATTGAATTTGTCGGTACGTATGACTCATGGCGAAGGTGGAGGTGTTGGTTTTTATATCTAAGTCTAACCAGAGTGACACCTAACATTTCTTACGCTACAAAAAAAAAATATAGATATGCAATAAGTGTTTATTTTTTTATCGTATCTGCCGTCATAATTTTGGGTACTTTTAAAAAAAAATGGTATTATTGGTAGGGGCAATAATAGTCCGGAAAAAACAGTTGGGTCCTCCTCCTCATGCTCTCATGCTCATAAATAACAATATACCAATGAATTCAATCTCGATATCTTAATGCGCAAGTATGAAAAGGACATGCCCAAAATGCGGACTTTTATCATTTTGTCTTGTGTGCGGTGATAGGCCTGAGCTAGAAATTTAGGGCCCGTCTGGTAACGTTTTCGGAGAGTGTTTTTTGAGAATATTTTCAGAGAATGAAAACAAGAAAACAAATTTGCATTTTCAGGAAATGAAAATGCGTCTGGTAGATTAATTAGAAAACATCTTTAGAAAACAAAAACAATGAAAACGTGTTTGGTAGTACAATTATTTTTCAAGTGTATTTTTGCTAATTTATGTTCTAAAAAATAATTTTTTTAATGTATAATTTGACAAATAAAAAATTATATTGTTTTTTTTAAGTTAAACTTTTTTTTATCTTCCTCCTTTCTTCTTTTTTCCTTTTCTTTCTTCCTCTTCTCTCCTTTATCTTTTCTTCTCCCTTCCCAGGCCGTTCCTTTCTTCCTCTTTTTTTCTTTTTTCCTTTTCTTTCTTCCTCTTCTCTCCTTTATCTTTTCTTCTCCCTTCCCAGGCCGTTCCTTTCTTCCTCTTTTTTTCTTTTTTCCTTTTCTTTCTTCCTCTTCTCTCCTTTATCTTTTCTTCTCCCTTCCCAGGCCGTTCCTTTCTTCCTCTTTTTTTCTTTTTTCCTTTTCTTTCTTCCTCTTCTCTCCTTTCTCTTTTCTTCTCCCTTCCCAGGCCGTCCTCTTTTCTTCTTTTTTTCTTTTTTTATAAATGTGGTCACCTTTTTAAATGTTTTCAAATGGTGAGTTTGATTTTCATTTCGTTTCTGTTTTGCTGGATAGAGCGATGGGGTTGTGCATTTCGGTTTATGTTTTAGGCGTTTGTTTTCTGTGAGAATGAAAACACATTTTTTCTGTTTTTCCGAAGTACACATGATGTTGTTTTCATTTTATGAAAACATTCTCAGTGTTTTCTGTTTTAGTCCACCGAACGGATTCTTGGTTTGTTTTTGTTTTTTGAAAATGAAAACAGGCGCTGAAAACTTAAACGAACGGGCCCTTAGTTAGTAGTGGAAAACGCTAGGCTGGTGGATTACATGAGAAACAAAGATAGAAAGATACTTTCCTCTCTCTCTCTCTCTCTCTCTCTCTCTTTTCTCTCTTTCGTGCTTGAAATCATCAGCTTTCACTTTTTTTATGCCAACGAAATGACAATAATTGGTGCATCCTGCCTACCAATTACCTATCTATCCATTCTTCTTTTGTCGATCTGCTTTTCACCGTTAAAAAGAAGAAGAAAAAACAGCTTCTGGGCCAATCACAATGTTTTCCCATCGTGACTGATGGGCGTGCTCCCTTGCCATCCATGCCATATGTGGATTGGAATTTGGACCCAATTCCGATTCTAAATTCTCATTTGAGTTCAGAATATGGGTTTAGCTCAGAATCTTCATTGTTATCAAAGCCCAAATACAAGGCCATGCATAGACGACGATGCTGCATAATTCAGCAGCTCAAAAAAAATGAGATAATGGGAAGTTGGGAGCAAGCAAACATCAGTCACACAATAATAATATACAAATTTTTACATCAAACAAACAATTGCAGAAGATAATGGCAATGATCTCCATGCATTCACAACATCAACTTGAACCGGTAAAACAGCCATACACGTATTTTGTTTATGCAGAAAATGGGGCAATCATTCAGGAGGCATGAACCTAGGCAGCTGACTAAGGTCAACTTCATCCAAAATAGGGGTCATGTTCAACTCCCCTTGTCATATATGTTCAGACAGAGACATTAAATGAGATTAACATCACATTACGTCTCTCTCTCTGCATTTTACAAACTTGCAATGGGAGCTGCAAATTATATTGATTACTTGAAAGTATGGTAACAAATCGACTACAACCTTCTTGCAGGCACCCTCAACCAGCAAACTGAGGCGGGTATCTGCAATCAGGCATAGGTCAAGAATGACACAACACAAATGAATTGACAATTGTCCATTTCCTAATCTCAAAACCATTTCCAGTTGTGTTCATTTTGTTTTGTGGCGAAAGCATTGCTTAACAGATCAATTTTTTTCTTAATCTGATGATAACCAAACCTCTAAAGAAGTACGGCCTATGAGACAAGAATGAACGTGAGCAAAGCTGTCTACAAACTAAGAATGAGCATATACCAGAGATCTTGTTTACTTTGCAGACAGGCTCCTCGAAAGAATCCCAAAGTCGAGTCGTGTTAAAAGTTAGAAAGCAATGAAGATGACATTAACTACCATGGAAAGAATCAAACGCTCCCTCCCCACCATTCCAAAGGAGAGGAACATTATGAGCATATCTTGGGTGAATTTGTCTGCATACCAGAATGCAGACATCAAGCGAAGTACAAAATGCGCCATAAAATGTCAATATGGCAGTGGTTAGGACAAGTGAAAACAAGTCAGATAGTACCTGGCCAATAACTTCCATATCATCATGAGGTTGCCGCCGTCAATTCTCCTAGTAAAAACCAGGATAAAGCTAGGGACTCTGTAGAATTTCCTTATTATAATTTCACTTGGAAGTATTGCCCATCAACACCCCGGACACTGTCGTGCAACTGATCAATGAATACTTTCATAGAGTCAATGCGAAAAGAAAGAACAAGGAAACTGAAGAGTGAATTAAAAAAACCCTACCATGCTTCTGCGCAACAAACAATCTCTTCAGATTTGCCAACCATAATCTTGAAAGAAATGTTTCTTTCCTCTTTCACCGTGTCCCCTGCCATTTGAGGTTCAATGCATGTTCCTTGATCAAGATTTTCATTCGTCTTATTCTTCTGGTCTATGCTATATCAAAGTATCAGTCAGAGGTGTGTTTGATACTAATGAGCACATAAGAAAATCCAAAAATATTTGGCGAGAAACCAAACAAATGCTAAAGTTGTAACAAAAAATATTTGGAACAAGTGAACACAACAATTACCTCATCAACTCCCACATTGATAGTCATCTCCTAAATAGTATTTGCATCCATTTCACAAAGCTGCATATCAATGAGAACATCTCCCTGTCCGTGGGTTCTCCGCATTGATAAAGAACACCTTTGTAATGACCAAATCACTTATTTGGGGGCTAAGAATTACTGCAAAATTTCAATGGAAAAAATTATAACACTAGGTACCCTTTTCTGATCTTGAATTCATTTACAAGGTGAAAAATAGTCCTGATGAGAATACAAAGATTATGCAATTCAATGATAGTAACTACACAGTGTAACTGCAATTGAAAATCTGAACCATTCCATTCAAATTCATGGATGTCTCTTTGTAAAAAGTGAGAACATTCCATTACTAATGCGGTCGAGTTTATATCAAAGCAACATGACAGCCATCATCAAACATAAACTGCCAGTCATTCAGCTACCCAAAAAATCCAAACTTTGTAATATTTCTTGCTCAATGGATCAAAGAAAATATCAAAATGTTAGGAGACCCTCCCAAAAAATAGTGTAAATTAATTCTAGGAGAAAAAACTTCCCTCGTTACAATAAAGACCCAGTCTTCGACAGTTCGATTGGAAACCAAGTCCATATAAATTGCTCCTACATGTAATAAGTTAGATGCCCATCTCGAACTAGCTCCGAAATTACATGACCTACTACTTATTCTTCACCGTGATACCAAGCTCGCTTGCGACAATCACAGTGGTTGCCATGTCCAGGAACATTCCATGCTCAACAACTCCAGCAAGCTGCAAAATTGCGTCACTGGCTGCCTTTAAATCCCCAATATCTTTCTTGAAATACAAGTCCACAATGTAATTGCCATTGTCTGTCACAAAAGGCTCGCCATTTTCACCAAAAGTCCTGAGCTTTCCAACACAACCCGCGTCCTCAAACAAGTCTTGCAGCCTTTTGGCCGTGAATTTCCAGCAAAAGGGCACAATCTCAACCGGCATAGCGAGCCCACTGCCCCCCAAATGCTTAACAAGCTTGGACTCATCAACGATAACCACAAATTTCCTACAAGCACCTTCAACCATCTTCTCCCTCAATAGCGACCCACCTCGGCCTTTGACCAAATTGAGGTGGGGATCGACCTCATCGGCGCCGTCGATCGCGAGATCAAGAACAGGGTGCGAATCGAGGTCCGACAATGGAATTCCCACGGACAGAGCTTGTTCATGGGTCTTCTTAGAAGTGGGTATTCCGACGATGTTCTGGAGCTTTCCCTGGTGCAAAAGCTCGCCGATTCGGTCCACGGCGTGCTTAGCGGTGGAGCCGGTACCAAGGCCGAGGACCATGCCGGACTCGACATACTCCACGGCTTTGTAGGCTGCGATTTTCTTCAACTCGTCCTGGGTTAGAATCACAGAGGGAATGGGAGTAGATAGAGGCGAGGAAGAGGTTGGGGAAGACACCAAAATCCCAGCTTCCATGGACCCAATAACAAAATGGGGGCAACAAGAAGGATGCTATTCAAAACCCAGAATTGGTTTAGCCTAAAAATGAAAAAAATCAAAACCCAGAAAAAATGAATGAATAGAAAAAGTGTCCTTCCGAGTTATTCAAGCATTGCAGACAAAGAAAACCAGCAGGGTTCTGAAGGAAGGAGGCCCAAACAAAAGAAAGAGTAAAGTGATTATCTATCTATCTATCTAGAAATGTGTGGCGGTCAGCATTGGGGGAAAAGAAAGAGAGGAGATAGGGTTTGTGAGGAGGCGGGTTGGGGGAAGGAGATGTATTTATAGGGGAGAAGGGTCACGACTCCGGAAGGTGGTGGGAACTGGGAAATAGGAGGGTTGGTTTAAAAAAGAAGGGAATTTCTGAGGTTGCATTGAAAATTGAAATTGGGGAAGATTTGGGCATATTTCGTGGTGGGGAAAATATTCAATATCACCTATGTCACTATACGGCAATGGCATAGAATTATACAACCCTATCCTGTGGGGCTCTAATATACATAAAATTAAATTAAAAAATATTATTTATATATTGAAAATTGATTTTTTTTAGTTTATTTGAAATGTTAGTTTTTTCTTTTCTTTTCTTTTTTGGTGAAAGCATAATTAAAACACATAAAAGGGAATTTTATTTATTTTGCAAATTCATCAACTATTACATATTCATTAACTTCAGTTCCAAGTCCGAAGAGGCTCTTCGGTGTTTTGTTGGATTTGTTTTGACAAATCAGAAATAACAATTTCACGACTTTTTCTAAGCTTTTTACAGCTAGAGTGGAGCTGCTCTCAAGTAGAATATCATGGTAACTAACTACCCACTAATTTTTATATTTATAATGTTCGAGGTTTTTAGTTTTTTTTTATAACCGTTTTGAGTATTTAGTTTCATTGAATATATATATATATATTGAGTTTTTTTTTTTTTTGGGGGGTAGAAACAAGAGTATTTAGTTTGTCGTCAATGCAACATGAGATTTTAAAGTTCGAATAAAACTTACACACACTACACGGATGTTAATACTCGAACCTAATACCATTTTAAAAAGATCAATTATTCCAAATCAGTACACTAGTAAGTCCTTTGCGTAAACCAAACCCTACTCTTTGAATGCTGAAATCAAAGTTTGAATAAAACCGTGTCGAGCATTTACAAGAATAAGAAAGACGGTTAATATCGTCCATCCAGTATGCTATTGTCTATTTGTTGAGAACTTTTTAGGAATAGGACATCCATTATCAATGGTCTTCAATTGAGAGTGGCGTTTTGAAGATATAGAATAATAGAAATATATCATATATGAATGGAATCAGTTTAACACTTTTTAACGTATTCTTTTTCATTTTAAAGAAGCATGGTGGCAAACAACGCATGCCATTGCCATCCATGGAGATTGCTTGCTTTTATCTTATTACAATTCTCCGCATAATATTCTCATCACTCAGATTCCTTTCTTTTGGCACCCAATCACCGGATTTAATAAATAATTCTATACGTAATTAATATACAAATTTGCAAGATTTTCAACTGAGTTTTGTTTATTCAAACCATTTTATTATTTATTATTAAGCAGCGGTGATATGTTATTTTATTTTAGTTTATTTTGTTTGGTTTTCTTTTTTCGGAGCTTAGAAAGAAACTACAAAGGGTGCAGAAGAAAGCCTGTTTCGTGCTGTTTTTGATGATGACATTTTCACGTGTGATGTCCATGACAAAAGACACAAGGCATTGGCAAGGTATCTTCTTGGGAACTCAATTACTTGGTATTGGCTTCGACCTCTGACCTTGCTCATCAGTCTCTGGGCCATTAGGTTTTTTTCTTCTCTCTCTTTTTGGTTATTTATGTGGAAAAAGAAGAAACCGACAGGAGTATCAGTTTTTTTCCTCAATCCGTGTCTGTAATTGAATGGCCATGTTTCATTTCTTACGAATGCATTCCAAAACAAGATATATTCCACCGTTACTCACGTAAGTTAAAATAAATTAGTTGCTTTAGAAACAAAAATCCCAAATCTGATCGGAGGCCATGAACAAACAAGGTGAAACTTAAAAATAAGCTAACCTAGCAGTAAGTTTTTGACAAAGTGATACGATAAAATTCTAACATATGTAGAGGGGATCGAACACGGCTGTAAGAGTTGGTAACAAATTTCGCATTGACCATACAAAACATGTTCTTCATGTGCAATTCAGCAATGGTCAAGGTTCAACCTAGACTTTAAATGAAGGCTTTTGCTTCAATGTTCCATTTTCAGTTAGAAAGTTGGGTCTAGTCAAAGTGCACCAAGATAGGAGTTACATTTGTTTTTGGCACGAAAGTTCTTCGCAAGTGAAGCCATCTAATCCTACATAATCTTCACAAATATGGGTCAATCTTTTTGAGGGCGCCGTGGAGATGCTTCTTACCAATATACCATGTAAAGATGAACACATCTGAATGAAATAATAATGGGTTTCTATCATGAATGAAAAGTTCAAACAACTACGTTTAGAAACAAAACTTGCTACGAAAGACGTTCAAAGAAAGTTATGTCAAGTAGAATATATTCTTGTTGCACCACCTCAAACACTACTATGCTGTAGCATATAGACAATTAAGGATGCATCTGCTTTTTGTGATGATCTTACACCGATAACACATAGTTCTGCAACTTATGGTGCTAATCTTCTTGTTCACAGCTTTGATTTTTGTTTAAAGAAGCTCCACTCATGTAATCTAGAAGAAACTTTTGACAATTAAGCATCACGACTTTTAAGAAAGTGAAAGAACAAAGCACAATCCACTTCCATCGCCAGTTCCAGAGTAGTTTGTTTTAGAAAACAAATCCCAGATTTAATCCAAATCTCAGACATATGTTACTAATTTAAAGTAGATAACAATATACAAAGAAAGGGAGAAGAGGGCAAACACATGCTGCCAGAAGAGAAGTGCTGAGGCCTCGCTTACTGCATAACCCCTCAAGCTTGCAATTGCTCCCAATAAAATTGCGCTTGGTGTCGTGTACTGCATCAAAAGCACAAACCTGTACATTGCATCGCCATCAACCAGAAAATTGAGCTTATCAGCCAACGCCACAATACCAATTCCCAACAGAGGAAGCAATAAAAGCCTTGCCACAGTTATACCAACAGTAGTTCGGAGCCCTAGAGTAGAATCATTTGGCCCCTCTGCGAGCATACCCCCAAGAATAAGCATCACAGAAGGCACCATGGCACCAGCTAAAATCTCTAAGCTGTCTGTGAGGAAGGATAGTGGTGCATCATCTCCGAAGAAAAAAGCTTTTAACAGAGGCACTGTCCCAATAACGATAGCCAATAGAGAAGCAATTGTTGGGGGTTGCAGTATGTGCCGTATTGGAGTTTGTTCAGCAACAATTCTCATCCTCCTGACCACCCTGGGTTCAGCCAAACACCTAATCGACCTGGGACTGTTTCCACCACCTTCTCCTGAGAGATCAACATCTTGCAAAGTGCTCTGTGAAACACTTGAGATGCTTTTGAAAACTCTAGCAATAAAGGGTGTCTTGGAATGCTCGGTTTCTTTTTCTTCAATACCCGGCCATTCAGCTTCTACAAGTAGAGGCCTACTCAAATCGTTAGTTTGTGCTTCTTCAATCTCAACCCCTTCTTCAACAATCTCATAATACTCCAATGGGGGTTCCATCATGTGGTAAACAAGGGTATAAACAAGAATTACAGCAACCCATTGGGCGAAAGAGACATAAGCCACCCCTCTGGAGTGACAATGGGGTCCAAATGGGTTTTTCGGAGTATGACAGACAGATCCAACAACAGCAAGTGGAAGATTTCCAGTATTCCCAAATGCAGTCATGATAATGGTAAATCTGTTTAACTCTGCGGGCGGACGACATATGATCACCACTAAGTACCCAAGCAAACAACCAATAAGTGTACTCACTAGCACATTAACTGGAATAAACCACCACTGAACAAAGTTTTCGAGTGTAATGGATTCGCCTAGTTCAGTAAAGATTAGACATGGCAAGAACAAGGCAAAAACAAGCTTGCTGAGAAGCTTAAAAGTAGCTCTTGGAATCATTTGAGATTTTGGGTGTGAAAGAACCAGTCCAATGACCGTGAGTGACAAAAGTTTCATCAAAGGTACTATTGCACTCATCACATCCCCACTATACTCCAAATTATCTTGATACAATTCCATAAGATACCGAGACATCTTTTCTTTAATTACTCAAAGATGAAGCTCTTTCTGCAATTAGTCAAACAAGAGTTCAAATGAATAATCAACCATTCAACATAAATAGTACCAGTAGAAAAATATCTAAAACCGGACAGGATAAATTTGCGAGCGCACAAGATGGATTCAGCACAAGTTCAAAGAAAACAATGAGATACAACGAGGGTTTAACATAATATCACAAACCCAACAAAAATACTATGAGGATTTAACATGGATTTGCAGGATTTTCACAAACCTTAAATAACCCAAGAAGAAAAGTGGGCGATTCAGTACTGAAATTAAACAAAAATATCAACAAAATTTCAGTGCTCGGAGAGAGTGAGACTTACAATTACAGAAAGAGGATTGAAGAAAGACAAAGAAAAGCTTCACGGGCCAGTAATTGGAATTATTGTTGAAGCTACCGGAAAAAGACTCGCCAGTACAATGCCTTAGCAAACAATTTTAGGCCAAATACTCGACAAAGACTAGGGTCCTTTTCAGAACAATAAAAGAAACAACGGTTTTATTTTGTGAAGTCAAGAGGAAGAGAAGTTGGTTTTTTTGTTTGTTTCTTTTTAGCCAGCTGGCATATGTGGTTCTGAGTCTTTTGGTTCCCACCAACGGAAGAGTGGGCTGGGAATTATGATTTTTTCTTGTGGGTGGGTTTACACAAATTGGGCATAGCCTCTGGGCTTATTGTTGCGGGCTGTATCGTTCGTTTGGTCTAATGAAGAGAAAAAAAGAAACAGGTTCATTGCTGGCTATGGGGTTCGAACCCATGCGCACTTATGTGCAGAAGATCTTAAGTCTTCCCCCTTAACCTCTCGGGCAAACCAGCTGTTGATGTCTTTTCCAACTCGAGTAACAATAAGTACGTACGAACATACTTGTATTTTATATTTCAGCTCCCAAACCAAATCTTACAATTCTAGCTCCACCCTGAGAGATAGTATTATAATAACACTATGATAAACATGTCCTAATTTTTGGGGCCAAGTCTATGACAAAGAAGTGAGGGTGGATGGAAAAGAACAGGGCTGAATAAAAGTAAGAAAAGGAAGAGCTGAAAAGACAAGACGTGGTACAATGGTACGTTACATATTCCCTGATTCTTAGTTTTGTTGTATAATAATTTGATAAAGAAGAGCACAGTAAGAGAGCGTGAGGGAGACTGAGAGAATGGTACTATATAGTACTGGCAGACACTACAAGTCATCAAAAACATCAGTAACTCCACAGACC